ATTCCTTCTTCATCATATTCTTTTAATTTCATGATGCACTTTATTCTGTACCATTTCCTTCCCTTGACTAAATCTTCTAGTCTATTTATTTTCTTTATATTTCTTTTATTTCATCAAATTTATCTCCTATTATTTTATTTTGGAGATAGAGGTGCATAACTATTGAAATCCTTTTCATATCATCTTGCAGATCCTGCATTCTGCTTCCTGACAATATCCATCTATTATTAATTTCCATTATTAATCGGTCAGTTTCTTTTCTTTTCCAGTAGTAATTAATGTTAGAACATTTTTCTATTTTCATTTCTTTTATATTATTGATGAGAGTGTTAAGGTATTCTTCATCAATTTCTGTAGAGTTATTCTTTAATATGATGTTTTTTATTATTGGATTACACTCTACTCTTCTATTATATCATTTACTTTCACTTTAATGTATTGTTTAGTACTTTCTTTTATTTTATGTGACATTTTAATATATTTAATATATTCTTTTTCATTATTGACATTGATGTTTATCACTTTTATAATATTTTCAATTTGTTCATTTCTTATTTTCTTATATAATTTCTTATTTAACAAATTAATTGCGAAACAATATAACACTTCAATTAAATTTCTATTTCTTTATTCTTTCTTTTATATTTCTTCTTATATTTTCATTATGTTTTGTTTGTTATTTATTATTCTTTTAATTTTACATATTTCATTCATTTCTTTATTGTATTTTGTTTTTAATTCATTCTTCAACTGCTTTAATTTCTTTTTCTTCACAGTCTTTTGTTTTTTCTTTAATTTCTTCTTAATTTTTTTCAATTATCTTTTTCTTTTTAATTGAATATACTTCTTGAAGAATATCATACCATTTTTTTCTTTTACCTTCTTACTTCTTGAGTATTTCTTCATATCCTCCTTTGTTTCATTCACTTGTTATTCTTTTTATTCTTTCTTGTATCTTATTTATTGTTAATCATTTATATTTGTTATGGGTGTAATCTTTATTATTATTGTATTTATCTTGTTTCTTATTTGTTTTTCTTTGCGTCTTTCGTCTTCTAAACCATTTCCATTAGTATAACATTATTATTGTTATTGTTATACCATTTATTATTGACATTCATTCTTTTATATCACTTTGAATTATTATGTTTTATTTATTTTTCTTTTCGGTACACAAATGTTTTATACAATATCCATTGCATTAAAATTTGATGTATATCCTGAATTGGAAAAGGCATCTTAAATAATAATATGAGTATTTATAATATGAATAAATAATTAATTAATTAAAAATAGGATATAATGAAATAATGATAGTGTCAAAGTACTTTGAATATATTAATGATTTTATTAATTTAGAAGAGTTAAAAGATTTCAAGGGAATATGGAACGATTTCATTTTAATCCAATTCCATTGAATCAATATCCAAGAAGATTCTTTCCTAATATTGAAACATTTCATATTTATAAAGAAGAAGATAAAATAATTGAAGATGGAAGAATATTTAAATAAGTAATATGGTATAAAGTGAATTATTCAAGATATTTAGAAGAGAAAAAAAAAGAAACGAATGAATGTAAAAATATAGAATATACACAAGAAGATAGAAATACATATGGAACTACAATACCAATAGAAGTTAATTCACTTGGAGATATATGTTTTAGATGGTGTGATGATATTCAATCAATTAATATACCAACAAATGTTAGTAAAATAGGAGATAAATATTTTGAATATTGTACATCATTAAGAATAATTAATATACCAACAAATGTTAGTGAAATAGGAAATAAATGTTTTGAAAGATGTTCGTCATTAAAATCAATTAATATAGAAAGTGCAAAGTTTATAACCACAGACAATGTATTTTTTATGAGTCTATATTAAATCGTTTTGAAATACCAAAAAATTTAGAAATAATAAATGGGAAGAGTATTGAAAAGAAAGATATTAATGAATTTATTATACCAACATCAATTACTAAAATAGCTGATTATTGTTTTTTGGTTGTTCAACATTAAAATCAATTAATATTCCAACATCAATTATTGAATTGGGATTTGATTGTTTTTCATGCTGTGACTCATTGAGTAGTATTACTATCCCAACATCAATTACTGAAATAGGTGACTGGTGTTTTAGAGAATCTTCTAACTTAGTTGATATTGTTATTCCATGTCCAATTGTTAAATTAAAAAGCATGCGTTTTATCAAATGTTCTTCATTAAAATCAGTTGATATATCAGCACCAATTGCTAAAATAGAACGTGAATGTTTTAAAGAATGTATATCATTAACTAACATTATTCTTCCAACATCACTCTGTGAAATAGGAGATAAGTGTTTTCAAAAATGTAAGTCATTACAAACAATTAATATACCATCGTCAGTTAATAAAATAGGAAGTTAGTGTTTTAATAAATGTCTGTCATTAAAATCAATTAATATACCATCAACAATTACTGAATTAGGAAATAAATGTTTTTATGGATGTTAGTCACTTGTTCATATAGAAATTCCATCAAAAATAACTGAACTAAGAGAATCTTGTTTTAAGGTTGTACGTCATTAATGGAAATTACTATACCAACAACTATTATTAAACTAGGAAATTATTGTTTTAATGAATGTCTGTCATTAACTAGTATTAATATATCAATAAGTATAATTGAAATAGGAAAATACTGTTTCTTTGGATGTACATCACTAACCAATATAAACATTGAAAATATTAAATTTATAGGAGAGAATAAAATATTCATTAATGAACCAGTGTTAATCAGTTTTGAAATGCCAGAACGATTGAATTCAATCAATAATAAAGAAGGTAATCATCAAACAACCGATGATTTTATTATTCCAACAACAATAACTAAATTAGGAGATTATTGTTTTAGTGGTTGTGTAGTATTATGTAAAATTACTATACCTACATCAGTCAGTGAAATAGGTTATCGTTGTTTCTCTGAATGTTCATTTTTAAGTAGTATTGATATTCCAACAACAGTGAGTGAAATAGGAGATGATTGTTTCCTTAAATCTCCATACAAGCCAAGAATAAAATGAAACACTACATCACTAAAATACTTTACACAACACTATTTTTTTCTAAAATAATATATTTTAACTTATTGTTTGACTAATTTAATTTCTAATCATTTATACATTTCTCAATAATAAAAATGGCATTGATATGACTTATAAATTATAGACATTTAAAGTAAATATAAGTGAAGTATTGAATTATAGAAAATAAATGATGGTGTGTATTTATTAGTCATGTTTCTTTTTATATAAACAATTTACATTTCATACTTTTATAAATTACTTGTTTATAGTCTTGTTACAATTTCATTGTAATTTAACCAGTTACAATAATAATATTGATTATATATTAATTTATTGAAAATTAAATATATGAATATATTTACATATATTATTTCAGTATTTTATATTCAGTTCTATTCCAACTCTTTGTATTTATTTATCAAGGTAGTTTAATAAATTACTTCTTTATCAATAAATGAAAATAAACATAATAAAGAGTAAATAATAACAAAAAAAGAAGAAATATGCAACTGGTAGGAGTTGAACCTACAACTCTTAACTTTTTGATTAGAATAGTTTTATATCAAATATGTAAGAAAGTGTTTTACCATTTAAACTACAGCCGCTTTTTGAAAAAGATTTTTAAAAAGGAAGTGATACTATTACTTATTATTTCATTAAAATTTAAATTAAAAGAAAATAATTATAATGAATAGTATAAAAAACTATAATAATAGTAAATTCTCGAAATAAAGGGTTTTGAAGAAAAGAAAGAACTTTTGCAAGACAATGTCCGAGACAGTAGCCAAGAAAAGAACCTTCAAGAAATTTGAATTACAAGGAAAATCACTTGAAGAAATCACTGCCATGCCAGAGGCTGATTTTGTCAAGATGTTAGATGCTAGAGCCAGAAGATCATATAGAAGATCCCCAAAATTAAAACATGAACGACTTGTCAAGAAACTCCTTAAAATCAAAAAGGCTACTAAAGAAGGTGAAAAACCAAAACTTGTTAAAACACATTGCAGAGATAAAATCATTCTTCCAAATATGATTGGTTCAGTTATTGGTGTTTACAATGGTAAATCATTCACCACCGTTGAAATCAAACCAGAAATGCTTGGACATTATCTTGGAGAATTTTCAATTACTTACAAACCAGTTACCCATGGAAGACCAGGTGTAGGAGCTACCCACTCTTCCAAATTCGTTCCATTGAAATAAAATTGGATTTATTTTTTATATTACTATTTTCTCTTATTAAGAAAAACACTTTATTTGTTTAAACAGATGATGTTGATAATTTACAAAAGAAATGTTTTTGTTTTCAAGAGTTAATGAGGCATTAGTATTAAATGATAATAACAAAATTATAAATTAATAAGAAAGAAATAATTTGAATCATTTGAGCAACAGCATATTGATAATTTTATGACCAGATGAATAAATCAAATAATAAATTAATAAGAAAGAAAATTATATTAATTGATATTGTTGAACAACAGAGAACCAAAAAAAAGAAATGATAAAAAATCATGAAAAGAAAAAAGAAAATCTAAAAAAAAAGAAGAGATAAAGAGAAAAAAGTTCTCAAAGAGAAAGAAGAGGAAGGAACTAAGAATTAAAAAATCATAATATTATAGCTTATAATGAGCACAACAAAATTAATTTTTATTGCTCTTATTATTGTAAGTTGTATTGCAGAGAATTTTATTAGATTCCCATATCCTGGACTTCCAAGTACAGATATAGATGGAAAGAAAGAATATGCTATTTTCAGAAAGAAACAACAAGCATACTTATTAATCAATATGCTTAGAGTTGATCCACAAGCATTTGTTGAAAAATATATGAAACCAGTAATTGCAGATGATTCATGGAGACTTCTTTTTAAAACTGAATCAATTAGATTAAAGAAATTCCCAGATTATTATCCATTGTATCAAGATGCATTACTTGAACAAACTGCATCACACGCTAGACTTGGAGAGTCATTTGCTAATGTTAGATCAAGATTAAAATCAAAATTACCAGAAAAATTAGATGGGTTTATTCCAGGATATAAACCACTTAAATTACTTGCACAAACATTAATGTGGAAAACTAAAACTCAAAATGATTTCTTCAGTTATTTATGTCATGGAACTTATCAAGATATTCAACATTGTGGAAAGAAAGATTTAGTTCTTGCAGGATGTAAACCAGATTATATTAATAGAAAAACACCAAGAGGAAGAATAAGATTTTTATTAAGACCATCAGGAGCTGTTGGATGTAATACAGTTAATACTCTTGTTAAAGATGAGAATTTATTTGCATGTGATGTAACATATCCAGACTTTAGTCCAAGACTTAGAATTAAATCACCAATGATTGCAGGAAATTGGTTTAATACTGGAATTGGAAATTCAAGAATTTATGCAGTTGTTATCCATGTTCCACAACATGAAAAGGTTAGTAAAGTAGAATTAATTATTGACGGTAAAATGATTGAATTACCACTTGCTTATCAAAATGGAGTTACACATGTTTATAGTATTGCTTATACACCACTCAAACATATTCCAAGTTTAATGAAGGGATACTTCTTCCATGCAGTTATTAATGGAAAGAATTTCTTCTATCCAGCACAATATTATTATGATTGGGAAGAAAATATTAAATTAAATATTAAACAAAGATATAATGGATTTTGTAAGATTCCATTCCCAGATAGAACATGTGATGTTTGTGATGAAGGATATAGAAATGTTAATGGAACATGCGTTAGATGTCCATTTGAAAATTGTGCTGAATGTACTGCTGATGTTTGTACTAAATGTTCTAAAGGACATTTACTCTCTTATGGAACATGCACAACACCATGTATTGAACATTGTGATGTATGCTCATATTCAACAACATGTGATAAATGTGCACCAACTCATTTCTTAAATGCTACTAATGGAACATGTGTTGAATGTTCAGAAAAATTCCAAGATTGTGCAACATGTACTAATGAGAAATGTTTGACATACATGTGTCAATACACTGATCCAACATGTAATATGAAGAAAACACCAGGACAATATTTCAGTGAAATAACACAAAAATGTGAGAAATGTTCAGAAGGATGTAAGAGTTGTACATATGATCAATTTAGAGGAAGTAAATGTCTTGTATGTAATAATGGACTTTTCCTTACAGAAGAAGGAGAATGTATTCCATGTCATTATGTTGATGGATGTGCACCAGGACAATGTGATGGTATTAAATGTCTTAGATGTAAAAGAGGATATTATCCATCTGGAAAAGGATGTATTAAATGTGATGAAACTTGTGCACAATGTACTACTAATGGAACATGTGTTGCATGTGCATATGGATATTGGCTTGATCCAGAATATGGTAAATGTGTTGAAAATTATGAAGTAGAAAATTGTGAAAGAAAGAATGCTCATGGAGTATGTTCAAAATGTAAAGAAGGATTTGGATTTGATAAATATCATAAATGTGTTGCATGTGATGCCTCATGTAAGAAATGCTTCTTCGCTGATAAATGTGAAGAATGTAAAGAAACATTCTATAATGATAAAGGACATTGTATTCCATGTTCAAGAAGAGGATGTGATCTTTGTGATGCTAATGAGTGTTTCAGTTGTCAACCTAATTCATATCTTCATAATGGAGTCTGTGTTAGAGGACCACCAGGATGTTCATTATGTCATGACAAAGCACCAATTTGTAAAGTATGTGAAAAAGGAATGAAGATGGAGAATGGACATTGTGTTCCAGATTGTGACATTAAGAATTGTGCTAAATGTAATGGTGATGAAACATGTAGATATTGTAAATCTACCTTAAATCCATTTTATGGATATGAACCAGCACCAAATGGAACAGACCCATGTCCATTTGTTTGTGACCCAGTTGAATTAAATTGTTTATTAACAGAAAAAATGAAAAGAGGAGAAGTTGATGCATGTTTCTCTCTTGGATGTAAATATTGTCCACCACATACATTTAGAAGAAATCACAAATGTATCAAATGTGCTGTTGGATGTGCTCATTGTTTAAATGAAAAAGAATGTATTAAATGTCTTCCAGGATATAGTTATTACATGGGAGAATGTTTCCAATGCAATAAGAATGGTACTTGTGGAGAAGGAGAATATATGGAAGGATGTACTTGTACATCATGTGAAAAGAAATTCCCACATTGTTCAGCATGTGATAAAGATCAATGCATTGATTGTGATCCTCATTTTGTCTTATCAGAAAATAAAACTAGTTGTGTTCCATGTACTAAAAAGACATGTCCACCACCACCCCCACCACCTTGTCGTGGTAAAGACTGTGAAGGTCCACATCATCCAGACTGTGATGGTGATGATTGTCCAAAACCAGAGCCAACCCCTGATCCAACTCCAGACCCAGATGTCCCAGTTCCACAAGAATGTAATGCCACTGCTAATTTCTCAAGAATTGGAGACAGTTATGTCTTTGATCCAATGTGTGTAAAGAAAGATGCAGATTGTTATTGTACTGAATGTGCATGTGGATATGAATTGTCAACTACCAATCACACTTGTGTAGAAGTTTCAGAAGAAAAGAAATTAAATCTTTGCTGTAATACTGAAGATGGATGTTGTACATCATGTCAACCAGGATATAAATTAAATGGATGTAAATGTGTTAAAGATTGTAAATGTGGAGAAAATGATGATGGAACATGTAAAGAAATAGTTGGAATTGAAAATTGTAAGACAGTTGGATGTGATAATATTTGTCAAGAATGTTTAGAAGGATATTATTTGAATGGAACCTCATGTGATAAATGTATGGATAATTGTACTCATTGTAAGAATAATAATACATGTACACAATGTCAAGAAGGATATTATTTGAATGAGACAACATTACTTTGTGATAGATGTAAGAATTGTAGTGGTATTTGTGATTCTACAGGACTTGTTTGTGAGTCATGTGCACCAGGACAATACCTTAATGAAACTACTGGAGAGTGTGAGTCATGTGTT